GCTTTCGCACATTTTCATCAGACGCGTTGTTTAACTGGTCATCGAGGAAGACGGCGGGCGGTGACCTTGGCACTTCCGCGTCGATGGTGACCGATTGTTGACCGTCCTCCAACGTACTGGTCAGACGTGGAGGTGGCGAAGTGGCTGGCTGGCGTGACGACCTGGTCACGACGCCGTTTTGTCCGCCCGACAATGGTGTACATAGCAGACACGGCCAGTGACCGACCGACTTGTTCGTCGTTAAACTAAACACCGTTGACGAACACGTACAAGTGCGAAAACCAGTGCTGTTTGTGACTGACGCAGACGACTCGTTTTCTTTGCAAATACGCTATGCCACAGAGCATTCGTTCCCCCAACCGACCACCAGTTCTGCCGTCGCCAAACATATCCTCAGCCACAACGCCGGAAATCATCTCGTCTCGTCTTCGCCTTGAAATGAGTTCTGCCACGCGCGCTTGTTCCTCATCGCATTCCTCCGTCTCCAGTCTCTTTGACTGACAGCCGCAACCGAGTTTCAAGATTAGAGTACGCATTAGAAATCGTTAATTAGAAAGCGTGCCCTCCGTCGTCTTCCCTTCGTCCATCGTTTTGTTCAACAGCCGCCGTCTGCTTTCGTCGCCTTGTCCAATGACGATAGCCTCATTCGTAGGAACGGAACGGTGGTCCTCTTCTCCTCCTCGCTCCTCATCCTTTTTTCCTTCCGCAGAAAGCGACCTTCCACAGCCGCTCCTCGTCCGAGGCGATTGGACCTAGGGTCATTAAAACAACCCTTTCATCACTTGAACGGATTATGGCGCGATATGCCGTCGACCCATGTGCAGCGAAACGTGATTGATTTTTGGCGCCGTCACAAATTACTCCATCAACAGCACCGGTCAGAAATCATATTCGATATTTCCGTCGTTCACCACCTGCGTCGCGTTGCGAGACACCGTTTCCTCTGAGTTCGGTATCATGAATTATGAATCTAGACACTTCTGCAGTTCAGGTGTTCTTGTACGACAAAGGCAGCTATGACAGCCTGCAATGCAATGCGGAATATGCTTCCTTTTATACCAAAATTAAATAACACTTACAGACCGAATATTTGTTACTGCTGTATCTGCTCTCTGATCTCCTCGCTTTTCAAATTGCTTCTAGAATGTTGTATAAAAATTTTTCATCAGCACAGTTTATAACAGATTATCTAAGTGCAGTTATGCATTTCACGAATTGTCCGATCCTTACAGTCATAATAAAGCCATTTTCAGATATCATATGGCATAAACACTGCAATGAGAACTTTTTGCGGTCCAGTGACACCTGGCAAAGAGGTCTGCCTCGAAATAGGGAGGTGCCGAATTCGAATCCCTTAAAGACAAAATTTCCCTTAACCGCCAGTTCTGTTGAGCACGTAATTTGCTGCATGTTGCTTATGAGCAACCAGTCAGGAACGGGCAGTAAGTCATTGACTTGAGAACAACATGGCGTTCTGGTGTGGTCGTACTAGGAAGGGCGAGAGGCACTGCCATACCGTTTCATGTGAGCTCGTAATAGTATTGCTGATTGCCTTCCTCGTCCAATGTGATGAGCACCACATATAGCTTGAACATTTTGAGAAATATTCTAGTTTAGCTTGAATGGCTCCTGACGCGTTTTATGCCCACTGTTCTCTTGCTTGTGGCTGCTTAGGGGTTCGTTTAAGCGGAACCATGGATCTATGATAGATGAGCACCTGTGTTGCGAAGATGCAATGCCGAATAACAGTGGTGCGTTCGAACGCAGACTGAAATATCACATTCTGCAGGCTACAACGAATGACTCCTCCAGGAGGAAGATTTCACGGCGTATTGCACTGCCAAACTGCTCCTAGGTGTTTATGGGAACTATTCAAACAAGCTAGGGCTACATTTTATTTTTAGCACCTTCGGTGTCAGATGCATCTGGTATCATTTTGCTTGCTACAGCCACATCGCGCTGATCAAGGACGATGTTTCACGAGCTGATGTTCCTCATATGATACCGTATAAATATCGAAATATGTTCATATGCCGGATCATATCAAATAGCGTACAACTCATCCAAGGATAGATTTGAAGGCGTGTGCACCGCTCGTTTGAGCAAACCGTTGAAGACGGCCGCAGATTATTAATTTTAATACCGAACTTTAATGATAAGAAGATTTTTATTCAAATGATTTTAGAGACAACTCAAAAAATTTTTGAGAAAGCGATTGATGAGGCGCAGGAAGGAGTTTGAGGCAACAAAATCACGCATTCTTTGTCACGGACTCCAAAGTAATTCTGAACTAATGTGCGTCAACACAATGTTGTGTTGTGGTTTCTTAAAGTCAGAACAACGTTTTTTGATTATGTCGGTTATGCGGAGGTTTGGGAACCTACGTCAATCGAGATCTGTGACAACCGTAAGACTGTGAGCTTTTCCTGATATTCCAAGAAAACGAACGAGGGGCGAGTTTGTATGACCACGACAGAACAGATAAAATGTTTGCATTGGCATTACTGGCCCTGGTGATGAATAAACAGCTGACTTTGGCAATTTTTTGACTAATAATTTTTTAGGCCTACACTTTTTAAACGTCATAGATTGAATGGGATTATTTACTGATGCTATAAATAACAACGGGCAAACTATAAAGCGCTACTGATAGTTTCTTATAAAAACAAAGTCGCAACGCCGCAACAGAATCCCCTCTACTAAATCCATATTATGCCATGATTATATTAAGGGCTGCCATTGCCCTACCCAGAACCGAAAACACTAATGAATTTGTGCTTCATATTCAGCCAAGGTAGGTAGCGAAAAAGATATGTCTAATGGATCCGTGGACAATGCAAATTCCTTCATGTGCTGAAATGCCATTCGTCTCTGATTCCATTCATACTGCTATATTTATTTAGTCGTTCATTATTTCGATCATTCAGTTTCCTCATCTCGAAACTCACTTTGTATTCATTTACTTATTTATGCACCCTTTCGTTTATTTATTCATGCACCCGGTTGTCCGTTCGTTTATTGATTAATTCTCTCACCCGCTTGATTTATTCGCTCCCTCGCTCATTCGTTCTTCCATTCATCCACTGGCTCTTTCACTCGACAGTTCATTCAACGGTACCTTTGCTCGGTCGTTCATTCACTCATTACCAGATGATATCTGGTAGTCGATAGAAAATACCGCCGATCGGCCAAGTACTATTCAAAGGCAAAAGGATCAGTCTAGGAGCACTGGTTAATGATAACATTGATGTCATTGTCTGTCTGAGTGGAAGATGATGCAGCATTAGAACCAGTACCAAGTTGGCAATGAATGGAAGAATTGGTCATTTGGCGTATTTTCAGCAACCATACTACCACTGTCCGGAATTGACTTATGAAGGGGCTATGATGAATCAATTCATCAGATATCTGATCTCGTTTTCTGGTCGATGTCTAAGGGGAAAGCCACGTGAATAAGAGTCAGCTGATCAGTTAGGTCGAAGCTGCAAAGTGTCGTTTGATTTGATTTTCACAGAGCAGATTCGCGAGCCTGTTCAGTCATCATGCCCATACTCCTGTCATATACAGAATATATAGAGTAATCGGAATCTCCAGATTTATTCAGTGTAGCAAAACCATGCAAACGTCATTTCATTTTTTGATGTGCGACGTCTGTTGAAGTTTCGCTTTCTATTTTCTTGACAAGAGGGTCGAAAAACTGGCAGCATGCAAATTAAACTTGAATTTGAATTTTTACAGCCTCGGCAGTTGTTTTTTCTTTCTTTCAATTCCCTTTATTTAGGGACAGTATTATTTTGGAGTAGTCAGAAACGACTACGTGCTTGGCGAACCCCGAACCCAAGTTAAGACAGGCAGCGGCAGCATATACCTGTCATGCAGAAGGAAAGTTACTTCCTTCCGAAGTTGAGGTCAGCACGATAGGTGACACGTCGTGATACCACAAACGTGCTTTACGCCTTGCCTTTCGTTGTGGCACCTGAGAGATCAGCGGACCCACGGAGCCCCACAAACGTCATATGAAGGTGATTCTGTAAATTCTGTTTCCAACGTGCAAGCGTCATTACTTGAAAGAAATAGTTGCCCTTGTAAATATAAGGATGAACCGATTATGAATTCCTGAATGCATAATGATGAAGAAATTGCACGTGACTCTGGGAAGCAATAAAATATACTTCAGGACCTGCTACTAACGGGAGGGGGCAAAAAAAACTTCCGAGGGTGCAGTTGCAAGGATGAACGAGTTTAATCGCCCCTTGAACAGTTGTACCGGTCTCTAGGGTATGCTGTCTCCGGTTAGCACGTGAGAAAGCGTGGCTGTCTTCCATATGTTATGTGTACAGCTGAGCTGAACCTTCTGTTTATTTATTTATCGAGCTCCTGCAGAGCAAACGCAAGAGCAGCGTTCGCACTTAGCTGCTGTCACGGCTTGTGCATTAATGTCCCATGGAAAACAGGGCCTTCTTTGATAGCATACGAATTCGTGAAGAAAAATCAAGAGAAAAAAATTTATGTGGAACGGCGAAATGAGTTTGTCTGCTGTTTATGACCGTTAGGATGTGAGATTCTTTTAGATCTTCAA